TACGTTCATACAACAAAAAACATATGATGACTAAGCGGTCATTTATTGTTTGACGATTTCTTATCAAGGATTGAAAATTTTGAATTTTAATCTTAATTATTAGAAAAGAATATATTATTTTTATAAATTATACTCAAAAACTTTAATTATTAATGAATAAGAAGATTTATACTTTGCATATATTTTTATACTTGTAATTATTCTATAATTTAATAAATAAAACAATGTCAACTTATTGTAGGTTTAAAAAAAAAAGATATTCAAATAATATTATTAAGAGCTTTATCATAATTGACTTTAGTTACTTCCAAATATCCTCTATAAATAATACCCCCATAAATAGTATTCTCTATCATATATGGTATCCAAGAAGATACTATTTATAGTTGGCATGAATAATGCGCCTCACGAATTTCTTTACGTGACATGATCTAGAATTTGCCAAAATAAGTTGTACTACGTAACACATGGTTTTACATGTGGAAATAAAAAGAGATGGTTTCAAAGCGAAATTCGGGAAATTTGAAATACAATCTTTTTGATATAAACTGTAGACGATGTATCCTGGAGAACAGTACAAACAACAATACGGCTCGAATTCCCAGCCAACTACAACACAAAGTATACCACAGACAACATATTATCAACCACCACCACCGCAATATCCATATCAACCACCACCTGACGGCTATGGAGGTTATCCACAACCATATCCACCTTCACAACCATATCCACCCTCACAACCATATCCACCCTCACAACCATATCAACCATATCCACCTTCACAATCATATCCACCCTCACAACCATATCTCCCTCCAATGCAACAGCAATATCCTCCACCCACGCAACAACAATATCCTCCACCCACGCAACAGCAATACCTTCCCCCCAAACAACGGCAATATCCTCCTCCTCCCTATCCCGATCCGTATTATAATAATTCTGTGCCTTACGCGTATCAAAATCAAGTACCTGTAAATTACAATTATTCGGGACGAAGAAGGGCTCTACTAATCGGAATAAATTATATAAAAACCAAATTTGAATTAAAAGGTAAATTCATCTATTTTAAATAAAATCCAATACGAATTTTATATTTAATTACCTTTCGATTATCTACTCACAGGCTGTATTAATGATGTTGCTAATATAAAAAAATTTTTGACCGAGAATTATGGATTCCGTGAAGAAGATATGGTTATATTGACAGACAACCAGTCAGATCCAAAGAAGATTCCGACCAGGGCCAACATTATAGAAGCTATGAAGTGGCTGGTACGAGATGCCAGACCAAATGATTCGTAAGTTGGCTTTTTTTTTGTGATCATGTACAAAACATAATTATGTATTAATGACCCAATATTTTATTAACAATATTTATTTCCTATTAGTTTCTTTTTCCATTATAGTGGTCACGGCGGTCAAGTAGAAGATGTTGATGGAGACGAAGATGATGGTTACGATGAAACAATTTTGCCGCTTGACTTCGAAAAAGCTGGACAAATTATCGACGATGTAAATGTCCTATTCACACCAGAATCTTGTAATTTGAGGCATGTTTACATGTATATATATGTTTCTTTAGGAAATGCATGAAATTATGGTGAGACCACTTCCGAGAGGTATTATGCACCCCTTTGCATCATTATATTTAATATTTCTGTAATAATAAACAATTTTTATTCCATTTATAGGGGTAAGGTTGACAGCCATTTTCGACTCGTGCCATTCTGGAACTGCGCTTGATTTGCCATACATATATTCAACGCAAGGAATCATTAAAGAACCAAATCTTTTGGCTGATGGAGGAAACACGCTTTTGGATGTTGGGAAGTCATACCTTCGGGGTGATATTGCAGGAATTAAAACAAGCTTGATGTCATTTGGTAAGAAAGCGACGTCTGGTAAAAAAATAAACGAGAGAAATAGACAAAATAAATCAAGTGAAGCAGATGTAATTATGTTTAGTGGGTAAGTGCTTTTACTTTGTTTTCTACGTCAACTTATTATTAAAGATGTTAAATTCTTTATTGAACAGATGCAAAGATGCACAAACGTCTGCAGACGCTAATGAAGACGGCAAAAGTACCGGAGCTATGTCATACGCTTTTATAAAAACGTAAATATTATTATTTTTTTTTTAGTGTTCCGTTTGATATTTGGAATACATATATGACAATTTAAATGAATATTTATTAGATTAACCAAAACCAAGAATGTTACGTATCAACAATTATTAGTTGGAATCAGAGATGTACTTGCAGGAAAATATGCACAAAAACCTCAACTCAGCGCGTAAGTTATACTGACATAATTTTTGAACTCGACTAAGCCAGCTCCTAATTCACAATTTACACGTTATACTTTAGATCACATCCAATGAATATGGATCAAATGTTTGTGATGTAGAATTTGTAAAGTATCATATTTTTACATTTAGTTACTGTATCATATTTTGGTATGGATTGATTGGTGTATCATGTTTCTATTATAGTATTTATTATTTAGTCTTTGCAAAGAAACACGCATTAATATATACGAAGCGATGTGTGAGAATTTTTCATGAACGACAGTAAAGATGTGGCATATCTATAAAACTAACATTAACATACGGAAAAAAATTTATAATTATTATTATTTCTTCAAATATTACAATTTAATGTAGTTACAGTACATCTATCTGATGGCAATAATAAACATTAATTACATATTTATATTTATAGATTTTAAAGATTTTATTTAATTAATTATTAATTTGAATTTGTTTAATTCAATATTATTTTAAATATATTTTTGATTTTAAATATACAGTATGACATTTTAAAATTAATAATAGGGAGTTTTACTACTATTTTTAAACGAAATGGTGTTACTCGTGCAGCAATTGTGCAGCGGTTGTAACAGCTGCATTTGCATTGAATTAAGACGTTTATTTAGAATGCCGATTGATGTTTTGTGAAAATTACATTTAAATCGATCGAAAAAATTCAATTAGATTTTTAATAAGCCAATAAGCTTACGGATCTAGTTCTCGTGATTTGGAAATTTCATAGGGAACACCTCTCATGTCAATTAAAAATAGTAATAAATCTCTGTTAATAATAATAATATTCATATGCAGTAGTTATTAGAACTAATAAGATTTTATGATCCAATAAAATTTGGCAGATGCCTCATCTAAGAAAACCAATCTTCAAATTATACATGTGCATATATAATTCGAAAGTAACCTAATGTCAACAACCTCCAGTCTACAAGCGTTTCTCTCCTGGGCTCAAGGTATTCTAGCTTGTGAGCAGCAATTCTAGTTATAGTCGATTAATTTATGCATTCTCATTTCTATAGAACACGGTGTGGAGTCTGAGCTTAGTGTACAAGAAATTCCAGACAAAGGTCTAGGTTTTGTCACCAAACGTACAGTCGTTCGCGACAACCAAACAAAGGTTGTTATTCCGAAATTATTGTTGCTAAACGCAACCAAAGTTGGAAAGTACGCTAAGGAAAAGGCTCCAAAACTTGAGGAAACTTTTCAATCCTTGATAAGAAATCGTCAAACAATAAATGACCGCTTAGTCATCATATGTTTTTTGTTGTATGAACGTA